TAAGGAGGTCTCCGGTTTGGACCATAGAAAGTTTGGATCTTTTATGAACCCCCACATGCAGCGAATCCATGTAAGTTTGTCTAACGAACTCGACATGGCATAGGCTTCTGCACTCAAGGTCGACCTTACAACACGGCCTATCTGTTTGGAGTGCCAAACGATTGGGGAAAATTCAGTTGTTTCATTATTTCCAAGTTTTTCAGTGCATGCCATGATGAACAAACCCTGTTGGGCGGACAACTGCTTGGCTGAAGCAAAACTTGCATCGCCAAAACTCGCAAAGCAGATACTGTGCATGGGAATTGACCGAACTATCACTGCTGTCTCTGCATGTTGTTGTGCTTCTCTCAACGTTCTGTTACCCTCAAGTAAAGATTCAACAGTGGCACTTGTGATGCCCTTCTGGAGGTGGGCTACTCGGGTAGCCAAGTCAGGCCTGGAGTGTACTGCTGCGTATTGAAGGCTTCCGCAAAGCCCTCGCAACTGATGTAACTCATGGCTGGTGATAGGACTAGTAGTTTCTACCCTCCTAGGTTTTGGAACATCGATAGGTGCTATCTGATGAATGTATTTCCCTTGATTTACTTTGATGGAAAAGTCCGGTAGTTGTTCAATTTCAAGACCAGTAAATTTGAACTTTCCATATTCTCTGGAACCAAAAGGCAAGTTGACTTGTAGTTTTTCAAGTGCAGCTTCAAAATTTTTGTTGCCCCCTCCAATCCCGTCATCCACATGGGTTCCCAGTATTCCGTCTAGGATCTTTGGGTTTTGAGGATTGCGGAGTAGAAATAGGCAATTATCTAAAGGATGCACACTGAAACCGACATCTTCTAGTCTCTTGCGAAACTCTTTATAGAATAAGAGTGGAGCATCAACCCTTCCATAGGCATTTCCTTTGAGAAGACAAACCTGTTGTGGGGTCATGCCTAAAAGTTCTCTTAGTTCTATGGGAGCTTCCATGGCTAATTCACGCTCATCTGAACGTCCACGCAAGAAGGCAGTGGTAATGTCAAAACTCTGCACAATCCACTGTTGGCTGGCTACTGTTTGTAACAGGAGCATGCGCGAATCTCTCGTGAGAGTCGGGCTATCGGAACAAACCGAGTCGATATCTGGGTCTTGGAAACCTTTTACAACCAGTCGGGCTTTGGCTTTCTTGCCTGAGTCTGATGTTGGGTCCTCTTTCCAAGTAAGTATCCATCGGGATGACATGATTCGGCTCGGATGGATCCTGTCACGCAAGATGGCCTGCACGGTCTTGGTGTCTAGCCAGCATTGGAGTTCCTTCTGTTTGGCAGCTTGAAATAGCTCTCTTTCTTTTGAAGTCAAGTCTCCATATTTTACTTCGTTACGTGATCTCTTTGCGGCAGCTGTCAGACATGGAAGATACTCTTTGGGCATCTTCAGGAACCGAGAAAGCTGTTGCTTTGGCATTTCAAAGTCAAACGAAACGCATGCATGTTCCAGAGTGTCTTTGGGCTCCCAGGCTGCTGACTGATCTTCTAGAATTATATCAGAACCTGCAACATTTTCACATATGGAAACATTATAGACAGGCTCCATGTCGGTTGGCTGTGGTTCTGTGTCAGATTCCATTGTTGCAGTTGAGTTAAGATCTCGATCAGCATCGTCACTCTGTTCCGCATCGTTCTCAGCTTCAATCGGATTTGGGGAGATTGGTGATTCTGGTACTGGAGTCTCTATGGCGCTAGACAGTCTCTGTGCATCAAGTTGGGTGTCAAGGATGATTCTTCTGTTAGGTTCTTCTTCAGGTTGAATTGATGCGTTGCTTGAAAGGTTAGGGTCGTTATTTTCTTCGGGATTATCTTCAGGATTATTTCTGGGATCGGGACTATCATTACTCATATCGAGGTATTGGAATAGGCCACTTCTTTCCCGAAGGCTTCTTTGTAGTTGCTGGGACATGTGTTGAAGTTGATTGGGATCGGATGTTTGTACAAACGTCGAGTGTTGTTGAAATTCACGCATGGAGACTGGTCGGAGATTTTCTTTAGCACATCTTAGTAGTCGGTTGAGATGTGTGACCCACACGATTGTTCTTGACTCCTGACAAACTACTTGTGCTGGTCCATTCCATCGACCCTTTTCCATGACATTGGGTGATTTTCGCTTATCCCAGTACATACATAATTGACCACATGACCACTGATGGACTTCTCCTCTGGACTGTCTCAGCATAGCACGCCGGATGGCACTGCTGTTATCAGCCTTGGCAAAAGCGGCACGGGCGGAGGCACGGACCTGCAAACGTTGTTGGAACCTTGTACTGTCCAAGTCTTCGCTTTGACAGGCTAGGTGGGAACTTGTGCCTTCGTCGGACACAATTGATGCAGGGAGCATCGAGGCACGTCCTAAAACAGCTTGCTCTGGACTATATCCTGAGACTATGGACATGGTGTTTTTGGCATGGAAACACTGCGCCAAAGCTTCATCAAACTGTTGCGACGTCTCGATGGGAAATTCTTGATCTATCCTACTCAGCATTTCTTCTATTATGCCTCCATGACGCTCAATGCGTCCACGTTGCCACGGGGCGGCTGACAACACTGCTTGTATGCCATGTTGGCGCAAGAGGTCCTTCCATTCCAAGGTCATGAATTCGCCGCCTTGATCATGTGCCATTTGTTTTGGGTATCCTGCCCATTGGAACCACATTAGCTTAAGTAGCTTTATGAAGGATTGACTATCTCGGGTTACCCTTTGACCTAAATGAAACCTGGTAGCTTCATCAAGTACATGCAACACATACCCCTTATACCCTTTTGAGCTGGTCCATTCAAACCCATCTAGTGATATACGTTCGTTGAACTCTTTCGGGTCTTTCAGGTTTCCAGGAGTTGTGAGAGCGGGTTTAACCCTTTCTGCGCATGAAGCACATAGGTAGTCCTTGGCACCTCCAATCAAAGCGGGTCGCGCATTGGCTTCGGACAGGTGTCGGGCTAGTCTCTCGGCTGTCGGGTGACCTAAGTTGTTATGTAGACGCCGGATGGCTGTCTTGTCTTCGGTTAATTCTTGAAACTTGGGTCCCGAAACACTAGCTGACATAGGTGTCCACGTCGGAACTGGCACATTGGGATTGGAAGACAAAGGTAACCCAGAACCTAGGCTGGCTTTGTCGAGGTCAGGAACTTCCATGCCTGATGTGGTTGGAGCATGCTGGGAAAGCTCTTGTGGCTCTTCCTCTGGAGTCCGGTGCTTCGCTCTGGCAAATATGCAAACCATAACATGACTGGGTCTTGCATGGCGATGGCGTTTGCCTTTGGTAAGTTTTGTCCAATCTTCTGTTCCCAGATCTTCTACTTTCATGGTGAAGCGAGCAAGGACTACAGTCTTTCTCAGCGGAAACTCATCTTCCCAGCCAGTCTCGGCACAAATGAACCTGTCAAGACCTTTGCCGGCCTTGATGGCGCCGATTTGTTGCTCGGGCATCTGCGCTTGAACCGCTCGGAACACGGCATGCATGGGGTTAGTCCAGGTTTTGATTCCGGACTTGGGCAAATCGCTTCGAACCTGCTCAAGTACTTGTTTCCATGGATTGCTGTCCTCACCCTCCATGTTGGCATCGGGTGGTTCGGGTTCGGAGGTCCTAGCTTTCTTGGGCTTAGGTTCTTCTGGTTCATCGTCAACATGATATACTGGGCTTTCTATGGGTTCCGTTTTATCCCGTAGTATGCATTTCACAATGGCCTTGGCAAACATGGCTGGGTAGTGGCCAGCAAATTGAGAAACTCGGATAGATTTTCCCCTCCAGTGACATGTCCCTGCTATTTGTTGATGTTCGTGATCATGGTCGCATAGCCTGTGATCTAGTCCTTCAAAGACTGTCCTGGATGTCGTTTGGATTCTTGTTCTTTTCTGCATGGCTTCAGTTGTTTCTGGGTGACGCAATCCAAACATACATTGATCGAGCTGAGCAGTCAACGACCCCTGCAAAAGTTCACGGAGCTCTTTCTGATTCCACATATCGGATGTCCAAGGATTCTCCAAATGAGTGTGACCTCCATGGGATTGCTGTATCTTGAAAAGCAGGTTGCACAACTTGAGATGGATCCTGGCCTCATCTTGGACATGATAGACACGTTGGAATCCGGATGCACTGCGAGCTGCATTAAATCGATTCCAGGCACACCACGGGGCACATTCGGGAGCTAACCACAAGTGTTTGGGTCTACACAGCATGACAGTCATCAATAGGTTACTACGGCCCTCAGCTGTGGAAAGGTCGCCATCTTCTTTGGTGAATCTACGGGCTTTCAGACCACATGCTTGTGCTACCTGAGTTATCTTGCTATCTTCATAGGCATATACCTCGAGGACATCAAGTTGTTGGCAATGATTATTTCCCTTACGTATCATCTTGTGGACTTCCTTTAACCATTGTACTTCTTCGGCAGTGGTCACATAGGCTTCATAATTGGTTTTGGGATGCACCTTTTCGGGAATCGGTTGCCATGCATGGTCTACGGCGGGGCATTCATTGCTGCTGCCTCGAGCCGTTGACGTGTCACCGCATAGTTGGCGAAGTCCTCGATTTCCTCTCCCAAACTTCCGATACGAGCCAGAACCCACTTGACGTAGCTGGCGTCCTCTTCGTACACCTGGAAATAGGTTTTGCCCGGATGTTTCTTTCCCCATGTGATCTTCTTTTGGCCCCAATTGGTCAGCGCTTGCTGAGTGAGGGCCAACTGGCTGTTGGCATTCACTCCCGGCATGCTTGCAGCTGCGGAACTCTGGGATTGGCGACCAGGCAAAGGTATGCCGGCGATCTTGGCTGGAATCTTGGGAGCTGCTGGACTCGGCATTGGCATCACTGTTGGAATCATCATAGGCACTTGTGAAATACCTGGGGCCACTGACGCTGGCTTGATGCCCATGGCTGCATGTTGCAACTCTTCTTCCTCCATGATCTCCCAAGCTTCGGAACCGACGATTGGGTCTGGAGACGGTGGTCCACTGGATCGACTGTGAGGATCCATCATCTTGCTCGTGATGATCTGGCCGAGTTCGCTGATCTTCTGACGTTGAACTCGAACTTCGTGAACCAGCTGGTGAATCGGATTCACTTCGTGGTCTGGGACATTCTCTTCTGGGTTGATGGCCTTGGTCAACGTGAAGATCATGACGAACAGGATTCGAAGACTCTCCATCACCTCCTCCGACAACGTTCGGAGGCCATCGAAGACTTCCTGTCTGGACGGCATGGTCACAGGACTCAGGTGGATCAAGTCCTGGGGGTGCTCGGATCGGCGTGCTTGATGCGACAAAAGCGGCTGCTTCGTTGGTCTCCGATTCTTCGCACAAGTCTGACATGTCAATCATGAACAATCCGTTCTGATTTTCCACTAGCGGCAGTGACCTGTTCAGCTTTTGCAAATAGCAAGTATTCTTACTGAGGTCAATGTTAGCACCCAGGCTTTTCATGGTCTTAATGGAAATCAAAAACGGTGTGGCTTTTGGGACAACTTCAACAAGCAACCAAATCCTTTGACGTCCATGCTTGAGGGGAATTTGCAACTGCTTGAAGCTATAGGCTGTTTGGTTGTTACCGAACCTAAAACCAACATGACTTGGGACTTCACGGATCTGAGAACGGACGGCAGGTGGCAGTTTTTGCAGGACATCGGGCACGTGCTCAGATCCAATGACACTTCTACTGGCACCTGTATCAAGTATGGCAAGACCTGCTGTGCAAGTCACTTGATGAACCGTCTGGCTGGCAAGACATTCGGCTTCACTGGTGGGCATCAACGGCTGTCCATGGAGCTTCATCGGACTCCTGAGGGTTTGTTGTGGCACCCTCTTGGCTGACAGACTACGTTTATATCCCAGCTTACCCCTTTTATCTTGCTTACCCCTCAGATTATGGTATTTCCCCATCCTAGACTTAAGGAAATTGACGACCTTTCGACGGACTTCGGCAGACAAGACAATGGGACTCGGATGCATTGAACTTTGTACAGAAAAACAGTCTTCAAACTTCTCAACTCCCGCCTGGATGTCTTCGAAGATCACCTGTGGCAAGTCAGCACCTGCTGGTCCATCAACTTCGGATTCCGGTTGAACGACATTGGCTTGTTCGCGAGGGGCATCTTTTCGGAGTGGGCATTCAGCTTTCCAGTGGCCGATCTGACCACATGCTTTGCAGTGAGTGCGGCTGATGCGAGCTAAAAGCTCCTCTTTTCCACTTCGTTGTCCCCCTTTTCGGAAGCCTTTGCCTGTCATGGCATCCCGGTTGAATCCCTTACCCTTTGATTTCGAAGGCCAAAACCCTCTTCCACGTCGGCGGTCATTGATCCTCTGCCTCGCCTCCTGGTATGTCAGGAGTGCCTGTTGCAAATCAGGCACATCTTGCATCATCTCCTCAAAGTCCTTCTCGAACTGCTGCACAGTTAATGCGTCAGCATCACCAGACAAAGCCATCTGCTCCAGTGCCTCAGGTGGAAGAACGTCATCGTCCTCGGTCATGGCGCTGTAGGTGCTTTGAATTGGTGTTTCATCGTCATTTCCCGGTGGGACATCATCTGGTTCGACATAGTTGGTTGGATAGATCTTTTTGCGTGGTTCACCAGAGCTTAGCAAAACTTTGGTCGAAAGAGTTCTCATGGCTTGCTCAACCGACTTCAGTTTCAACTCTCCATTGGTCATTGATAGTACACGCTTTTTGTCTTCGTTCGACAACCCCGACTGCCTCAACAGGACAAAGGCCTGCATGTCTTGGACTGTGATTTTGCCTCCAAGGTCGTTGAAGGCTGCATGAAGCCGCAAGGCATAGCTATGGGTTGCTTCATCACTCCTTTGGGTCACTTTGTACAAACATTTCTCGAACAACTCAAAAGTCTTCAACTCTGAGGTTTCCTCCCACGCAGACAATGCTTCAAGGAGATATTCAACTCCGGTTTCCGGTTCTGTCAGCTTTTGTGGGTCAAGCTGGCGTACTTGGGACCAGGCTGTCCCTTTGCAAAGCATGGCAAGTCGTGGAGCGAGGTTCCCTTTGTCTTTGACTGGGAACACTCCATGCAGGAAACGTGCTTTCTGTGAAAACTCACGGATGTCGTCAGAGCTTGGGTCAAAACTGGGCAACTGGCTCCATAGGCCTGTTGCTGATTTCTCTTCGGATGTGCCTTCGGACATGTTGGCCTCAGACACTTCTTTGGATCCTCACTTTTCCGGCTTTACGTGCGGAGACCTGGCAGCACGAGCCAACTGGCTCCGCTACCAGTATGACTGGGTCAAGATCCCCCAGCCACACTGGTAGCCTCCTGAAAGTGATGACCTCGTCCACGAGGGAGAAATGATATTTCCCAAATGAACTTCTGTCCACAGAAACCAGGTAGTTAAAGGATTGTTGGCCACAACAATGATGGATAAAAACAGTCTTCCCAAAGAACTGATAGTCCTCCAATCACCAGACCACAATGGCGACACACGCAGCTATTTCTCCCCGTTGCGTCCTGAAGTATGGGCCCTTGAGCCACCATATACCAACGCAGGTCATGAACCCTTCGTTCACATCTGCAGGAACCCTAAAGACAATCGAATGGACAAAGGCTCGGATGAACATGGAATTCACAAACAATATTATATATAATATTATAACATATGCGATGTATATGATATATATATATATAATGAAAAATATAGTTGGACCACGGCCTTTAGACGGCCGTGTTGGGGTGGGGTGGGGTGGGGCATGTATTAACGTTCATGTGAACGTGCACATGAAGTAGATGCTACTATGCTACGCTGTGGCTGTCGGTTGGGGCATGTATTCATGGTGGGGAGTGAGGTGGGATAATAACGTCATCGGCTCTCTCACACATACGTCATGCTACGCTACTGTACGTTCTCTTGGACTTCCACGCGTACGTCATGCTACGCTACTGCACGTTCTCTTGAACTTCCATACATACGTCATGCTACGCTTTGTTCTCCTGGACTTCCACGCATGCGTTTTCTTAGGTTCTTAATGAAGTGGGCGTTGCGTTCATACCTCCATGATGATCGAGAAAATGAAAGAACTGATAATGATGATGATGATGATGAAGAAGAAGAAGAAGTAGATGATGACAGCTGAAAAAATGTGAAAACCAATTAGTTGGGGGCTTTGAAGAAAACTCCAAAATGGAGGTTTCCTGTAGGCGAAATGACTGTTTTCATTCTTCTGCTTGGAACTAAGGCGTTGACGGCCTTTACACTAAAATCACACGAATTCCTATTGGCACGAGCACATCAAACATGATCAACAACATCCCATGAATCAAAAAAACACACGACCATCTAAAGGCCGTGCTCCTATCTATATATATATATATGTATATATATATATGCTTACTATGATTGCAAACAAGTATGTCTGTCACAATTTATTGACTAAATACATCAGGATCTCACTTGTAAGTGAGTCCCAAAGCTTATCCTTTGCAACATGAAAATTGATGGTGTTATATGGTGTTCATCACGTTCAGCCCCCAAATTGGGACATGAACCAACGACAATTATTATTTTGATGCTGGTTGGGTTAAGATCCAAACATGGCCAAAGCATGCGGTCCCCTACAGGCCCTAGGTGTGATTTCTTGACTCATAGTAATACACTGATCGTGTATCCACAAAATAGCTTGTAACGCTGCTAAATTGCATAGATCTTCGCCATTATGCAAATCATCATAATCTGAGGCTTCGCCATACGAAAGTCCATCCACACTGAAGTTCTGGTGAGTCGACTCATCAGCAGTTTTGCTCGTGGTGTCCTTTGTCCCATTTAATTAACAGAATTTCCCAGGGATGATTGTTATGAAATTGCAGAACTCTGACTTCCGCCGTCTTGGTTTAGTTTGCACCCAAAACAAGACTCAATGTATCACAAGGCCCAAAATTTACCAAACAATGAATCTTAATTCGGAAAAAAAAGAATTGAAGCCGTGAAATCTGTGGATTGGGGCCTTAAACCCAAATGACCCTCTACTGCCCCCGGCTGGCCTGCTGTGATGAGACTGATGTGACTGTTGTGGGGAGACTGGCACAGGCGGCACCTCGCGTGAGGGTGCCATGGCCGGAGGCTGCGACATCTGCGGGGTCGACATGCGCGGCATGGTGGGAGGGGCCGACTGCGGCATGGCCATGGGCGGCATCGGTTGTGATACCTTGGAGGCAAAGATGTGCGTTTGGGGCAGACATGGGTATGAGTTAACCAAGTAATGGATTCCCTAAATTGTGATAGTTCAAATATGTTCAAATTATAAATGGTACCTCTTCATTGCAGGAAACTGGTGGTTGTCCAGTCATTGGGTACCCCAAGCCTACCCACAAGGCGGGGCTAGGCAAGTTGACGCACATAACTTGGTTAACTATGGTTTATAGCGGATATAACTGATAGAACCACAGATTTCCTGGGGGTTATAACATGTTATAACAACTCATAACTAGGGAGCCCCATCCTGCAAGTTCATGAACATGTTTTTGGCCTTGTGTGGCCGCTCGCAAGCTAGGAAAAAGAGAAACACATGACTGGAGAAGCCCTGTTGAATCAGTTTGTGTCAAGGGTTGAGAGATGTTGAGAGATGTTGAGAGATGTTGAGAGCTTGGACATTCATACCTGGAATGATCACACCAACAGGCTTGGGATTTTAAGTATTACAGTAAGCATCGCTTTGATAGTGAAACACTTTTATACGCAATCCAATCCTATTTAAGACTTGAAAATATACGTAATCTGGTCAATTGAAATCATCTTTAGAAATGGGATGGAATGTTTACAAAATTCGAAACTTCCAAGTCTCCATCATTTCCAATCTATCTGGTGCAAGAAGGGTTTCTTGGACATGTCGGTTGCCTTTTCCAAAGATCTGGTTCAGCCGCAAAACATCCTTTGGGAGGCAGTTTCAACATCGAAGAAACGCGTACCCTGGTTACACAACATATGCCTGCACTTTGGTACAGTAGTATAGTATAGCTTTCAACCCACAAATATGTGTCTACCTAGATGTATGTATATATATTATATACGTCTATATATGAATATTATGTATAGTATTGTTGATTCAGGATTCATGATCTCAAATAGGTTTGTGTTTGAATCGACATTAACTGTACTATGGTTCAGACCAACTGTTGATGCACTTCCAATGGCTTCGCTGTAGTTATGGTTCCAATGGCCAAGGTCCTCCCAGGAGTGCCTTCCAAAAACACATGGATGGACAAGGACTACCCTCTGGTAAACTAACAGTTTGCTATGGAAAACACTACATGTGTGTATGGGTAAATCGTCTATATATTATAAATGCTTGATTTTCCATAGCTATGTTAGTTTACTGAAGGGTATCAGATGTAGTATCCCAAAACGCTCCAAAAGCTGAAGGTTGAGGGGTCGATGACGTCGATACTTTTTAGCTGCAAGGAAAACGGTGAATTTTCCAAAACCCGTCAGGGGTTGTCTGGGTAAACCCCATACCATCCCATTGGTTTATCATCATGTCCCTCTTTTGCATCCTTTTGCATCATGTATCCCATGGCTTATCCCTTATCCTCATAGAAATGACCATTTGGAGGTTTCCTAAAATGGTGCTACCCCCCAAAGTCACCATAGCTTTCAATACTAAGTCATGGTTTAACCCCATACGACTGGATGATTTGAGGCTACCCCCATGACTTTGGAAACCCCCAAACTTGGGACACTTCCCAGTGGTTGGGCAAGCAGTCGCCTAAGGTGCTGCCGTTGGTGGCAAGTACTGTGTGCCATAGCCACTCCCAGCGAAGGCCGCATCTCCCGTCTGTCGCCGCAAGCCCTTGGGAGTGAATTGCCATGAAATGGGTGTTTGATGGTCCAATTTATGGTTGTTTATGGTGAATCATGTAATGGCTAATCATGGCTATGATTATTCATGGGGTCATGACCGTTAATGGTTGGTCATGGTGAAGCATGGCCACAGTCATGACTGTGAATAATATAAACTTTAATTATATGACGGGTATACCCTCCGGCAAAACACGGCTGGGAAATCCCCCAACTGCTGGACATTTACCCTCTGGTTATGACTAACATAGCTATTGAAAATGACCATTTATAGTCGATTTTCCCATTAAAAAGGGTGATGTTCCATAGTTATGTTAGTTTACCAGAGGGTAAATGGAAGAATCATTGAACTCAATGAGAATTTTCCAGCAATATTTGATGACACTTCAGACCATTTTGGGGTTGCAAGTATAAAAAAGCCTGATTGGGGTCCGGCAACCACTCAATCTAACCAGGTCATTTAACAATCCATGCTGTATTCCTATCCATGGCAATATATGCCCCAAGTACACAGCTTCTCAGTGAATCACCTGGAGAAACTGGACTTGCCGCGAAGTCGCCTCCAAATCATGAGCATTCTGCTCCACCTGAGAAGTGTGGAGGATTCCGGACCATTCTGAACTTATTATAAGACACGTATGCGTCCGCAGCTGGCATTCAAAAAAATGCGTTGTCTAAAAATGGTACCCCTCACATCCCTCTGTTTCTAACGATCTTTGCTATTCAAATTGCCGTTCTGTGGTGTATACCTCATGTGTGGGCAAACCCAAATGATCCCCCTTGATACTATTTATAATATAACTATATAGACTATATCCTTCATTGGCTAAACAAACCAGCCCGGGTCCCATCATAGCCTGCATTTTCACCTGACGGAGTTCGTAGCGCAGGGACTCTTGGCCGTCAAGCAACTCCTGCACCGATGCCGATGCGTTTCACGCGGCACGCGTGGATCGGAAGCAATTGCAAGCATGAGAATCAGCTTTGTTGGGATATGTTTGCTCCAGAATCCTAGGTCCGAGGTTGTTCCATGTTGCTGAAATTGTTGAAAGGGTCCTAAAACCGGCGAAGCTGTTGAATAATGCTAAATATAGATCCAACACCGGCGCAGCACTGCCTACCAAACAAAAAACAGAAACCCTGGTTCACTACATAATTCCATCCCCGGTTACCAAACACCCCCCCGAAACTTGGTAAAAGATAGCATGAAATCACATTTGGGACCGTAGAATGGGATTGTTCCACAGGAGGATGGGATTCTATCCATCGAAATTTTATTGGTTTCATTTTATACCCCAAATCTTCTATTGGATTTTTTTTTGATGTATTCATATGTATTCATATCATATTGGATGTACTCATATTGTCATATGGTCAGCTTCCTTAAAATGGGCCCATCCTAAGTCACCACGGCTTCAAATTTGACTGAAGATATTAGGGTATCCCAGGGGATGTTAGTTTACCAGAGGGTAGGTGATTTATGATGTTTATTATGGTTGGCAACCACATTAGTCACTTTCGTGGGCCATGTGGCCCATGGCCCGGCTATGCCTGGATCTGGGTCTCCAGGTTTTCCACTGTCAAAGGCCTGGGCTGAGATGTGACACTTGCCAGTGATCCCAGATATCCCAGTCATGTCATGTGTTTTTTTTTAGTTTTTCGATGTGAAAAACTTGGGAGTTTTGAGTTTTGAGGTCAATGATATGATATGACCTTAGGATACCTTAGAATATCCAGTAGCTTGAAATAATTTACGCGGTATTCAAATCCACTTCCAACAAGAATCATGATATGATATGACCTTAGGAGCAATGTCTTCATCTTTATCTGATGTGGGAAAGTCCCAGGCTTTACCGCTGGTGGATAGCAATTTCCATATGCAGAGCACCGCACAGGCGATGTTTGGCTTCAACGGAGGTGCCTGGAAAATTCATAGGGCACCTCGAGGTTTCTATGCTATCAAGATCTAGATGTGAATATCTGTAGATGTACAGGAACTTTGCTAGGTATCTACAACACTATCTACAATATGTATGTGCAGAAACTTCAAGCCTCAGTCATCAAGAATATCGTGAACCCCTCAACCAGACCGTGCCATCATAAGTTAAAAATCAATCACCTGCTTTTATCCATGCAATAATGATCATTGGAAAAATAAAGCTTATCACCCCCCGAAATGTAGGTGCCCTGGTGCAAGGTTCCCCAGGTTGCCAAGGCGCTGCGAGGCCAAGTCGCGCACTTTCTGGTCGTGCGCAGCAATTTCCATGTCCAGACGATTCGCCTCCTTCGTACACGGAGGAAGTTCCATCCCGATAGCTTGAGATAGCAGCAACATGCAGCAACCACATCCAGCCAGCTGTCAAAAAGATGTTCAGGGCCGATGTGTTCAACTTCAACTTGTAGAAACGATCTTGGAACCTCTAGGGTTACCAACGTCATAATAACTTTAAAAATGCTTTTTGCATGCTAACGGTGGTTTGAGGTGTGCAGAACTTTCGGGGGACCCCACAAAACACTTTCAAGGATGAAGTTGCAACAGGACATAAACTAGAACAATCTCAAAATATCACCGCCTCCATTTTCAGGGGAGCACCACTTTGGGAGCCCAAAGGATATAGTCAACCAATACTGTTCAAACATTTCTCAAATAAATGACACCGCCCAAATTTATTTTGAGGGGTCTTAGGTGTCTCATCTCCTTGCACATAAAACTGCTGAACACCCGTCTGTCTACGTTGCTGCATGTCAACGGGCCAATTATTACTTATAAGCTAGCTATAAGTTAATATGTTATAAGGGCCTCCCCGCCCCCTGAAATATGGTTTTGTCCAAACTTTAACAAGGAACATGTTGATTTAGCATCAAAATTCCCCTGACTTTGGGGCTTTTACCCTGGGATTTGCGGATTTTCCTCTGACTTTTTCAGGTACTGTACCCCCGCCCAGCTGGCGCCTGCATGTGGTTGCTCTCAGCCGGCGGTGGAAATCCCGCAAGATCCCCCCAAGCCGAACGACTGGGCGACGCTTGCGACCGCCTCAGCCAGAGTTGATTGGGTGATCGTCATGTTCCCCAATGTTTCCCATGAATATGGCCATAAACCCCCAGATTTATCCAGATGTCATGCTTGATCATCATTTTCTTCTACCTTTCCGAACCAAAAATGGATGCACTTGGCCATAAATGGCATCTTTTCGTTTTGCCAAAGCCAAATGGGAAAGCATGGTAACACCATTGCCAATTCCCTGGAATAAGAACTTCTGGTGTTTTCATCGTCTACGTACGCTTTGGGCAAACCGCCTTCAACTTGTTGTCGATTTTCCGTCGTTTTTCATTCAGCAAACTGATGTGACCACAAATGCTTGACAACAGCACATTTCTCAACCATATCAGGCATCTCTCGATTTGCTTCTTCATTGTATTTCTGTCGTTTTTTGAACCTACGGTATTTATGAAAACCCGCATGGATGAAGCAGCATGTTCTGTAGCGCCCTAATCCAGCTCCAACCAAGCGGCTGTAATAATATACTATAATCCGTTCTGATTGGGGTCCACAGGGTTTATCGACTCATAATGCGCCTACTGCGTTACATTGTCACTGGGTTGTAAGTGATAACGCCGTTCAGGAGGTATTAAACCAATTTCAACCGTATTGATCCGTATTGTGTCTGAAATTTGAGTTGCTCGGTTTGTATGGTCTTATAGTATCTTATAGTATCCCATAGTATTTTATAGTATCTTATACCCTCTGGTAAACTAACATAACTATGGAACATCACCATTTTTCATGGGAAAATCCACTATAAATGGTGATTTTCCATAGTTATGTCATGTTATGTCTACTGGCACGCTTGGAAGCAATCTGCCCCCTACGAAAAAAGGCTTAGGATTCCCAGGCACATCTCGAACTCGTCATCCTTCACGAACCTTGCTTCTGGCTGATTTCTGGTTTCATCCTAACATATCCCAAGGGTAAACATCTTTGGGAGGATTTATTATATTATATTATATTATTTTACATTATATTATATATTATAATATATGGGAGCCGTCCGTAAATGCAGATAACAAATTTATGAATTGATGCGTTTACTCTGCTTTGCGCGATTGCCAAAACCTGCATCGCGATAGGCTGAGCGATTGGTTGGCGATTGGTTATACGGCTACGACTACTACTACTACTACTGCTAC